TAGTGCAGTGGAACTACAGTTAATGAAATCTGACTTGGACATATGGTATTATAGCTCTATGGTTTTATTTCTGTGCTAACCTTCCGACCACTGCTTCTAATTAGGGAAATTCAGCTAGGATTAAAACCACTTGTAACTTGTGAATGATTCATTTCATATACTATCAAAAGTCTGTTCCACTGAAGAACTTACTCAAAACTCAGTTTTCATGCAATGAACATGATGTGGGGGCTCTCCCTTGACTCCCTATGTGGGTATATACAAGCACATAGACAATGAAAACTCAAAGAACATCTCCTGACATTACTATAGCCAGTCATCACAGATCTTTCTAGCTATCTTGCAAAGATCTGGCAATATCTTACTGTTGCCTAGAAGGAAGGAGAAGTAAATAAAATAGAAAACTAGCAAGTAGAACTATCTTTCAGAAAGTATTATTTTGCCCCTTTATAAATCCATGATGTGTCCACACTTGAATACCATGCCCAGTTCTGGTCCATACACCTAAAAAAGGATATAAAAGAACTAGAGAAGGTATAGAGAAGAGTAATAAAGAAGATTAGTGGTATGGAGGAGCTTCCATATGAGGAGGAATTAAAGAGGCTAGGCCTATTCAGTTTAGAAAAGATAAACTTGAGGGGGACATGCTAAGAGCTTACAAAATACTAAATGGTGAAGAAAAAGTAAATAGGGATTTATTATTTACAGAACTAGGGTCCACAAAATGAAACTAGTAGGTAGTAAATTTAAAACTAAGAAAAGGAAGTTTTTTATACTGGCGTGTCATTGAAGTGTGGAACTCATTGCCATCAAATATTTAGGAAACTGACAGTTTAGCCAGATTGCAAAAAGGATTGGACAAATTCTTGGAGGAAAATGGCATCAGTAGCTATCTGAGCACAGGAGTTAGGGATACAGCCTCTGCATCAGAACTTCCTAGAACTTAAATGCTGGAAGCTGCAAGCAAGAAAGGAAGAGGGGAAAAAACACTAGTCATACCCAGTTCACTCTCCCTTTCAGCATCCACACTCTGCCACTGTGTAACACAAGCCTACTTGTTATGCCAAGAAAATTTATGGCTTACATCCATAAGAAAACTCTATAACACCCCTTATAATCAGGGAGGCAACTAGCGACATAACTAAATACAGAGAAGAAATAAAGCAATGGGAGGCTCAGGACACCTGCAGAGACCTAGTGCTGTCCTGGCCAGAAGAACCCCAGTGCATGTCTCTGGAGACTGGGCAGGAGCTTGGGGGGCATAGCCAGGGTATTGAAATGGTGCCAGAGCATGGATAGGACCAGGTGGTTGGTGATCAGTGCCCTCCTGGGAAGGGTATCACCAGCAGGTGCCATGGGACCATGATGTCATCAGCAGGTGCCATGGGATGTGCTGCTATGTGCCCAAGAATGACCATCCCCCCTCCTTTGAAACAGATGTGTGGGCACTCGAGATCCTGGTTGCCCAAAATAGTGTGAGTGGAGGCACTGGAGGGCCCAGGCTCCAAGGCTGCAGGTTTCCCTGTAGCTGCCGAGGCGTAACTCCAGCTGCTGAACAGAGGGAAGAGCTGGAGGAAGGCTGAGTGGGCAGGGAACCTGATAATGAGGCGTTGCTGGTGTTGATTTTTTGTTCTTGCTCACAGGCCCTTTTGCCTCTCCCGCATCCTGTGGAGGGGGATGATGAAAAGCCCTTGCCTGAGGAAACCCTGTCCTGGTTGGTTTTGGAGGGGCCCTGTGGCCCTTCCAGGGAGACTGGCCAGGGAGAACCCCCTGGGTTTCACCCTTCTCACTGGCTACCCCCTGATTGGAGCCCACTGAGATGGCAGCCACCTCAAGGGGCCCTTGCCCTGCCATAGGTGCCTACGTGGAAAGGGGTAGGGTGAGGTGCAGGAAGGGCAGCTGTGCACTCTCCTTCTGACTGGATGAGAGAGGGTGAGTTGCTGAGGGGAAGAGGGGGTCCAGGGTGCCTCCTCTGGCTGCCCTTAGTGCGGGAGGGGTGAGGTGAGGGGTCGGGGCTAAAGGTAAAACACAAAAAAGGCACACATAAAGACACACGTGGGAGGGAGAAGGGAAAGCACACTTCTGGCTTACTCAGCTGTATGCAAAAACTAGAAGGAGAGTGGACCACAGAACTCACCACAGGAGGGTACAACACAGGGGTGCTGCCAGAGCAGCTAACAGGAAAGCAGGTGGTTTTTGCAGTGGAGGAGCCCCACTGGCATTGTGGGGTCCCCTCTGACTGCAGGTGAGTGTGGCAGCAGGTGGGTGGCTGGTGGTAGGTGAAGCAGGAGACCTCCCCTCCCTGCAAGAGGGGAAACAGGGCTGTAGGTCCAGGCAAAGTTGGTGATGGTGAGGAAAATAGGAGCCTGCAGCAGCTCAGAAAAGGTCCTATTACTCCCTGGTCCAGGAGCTCCAGCAGGCAGGAGGAAGTGGCACCCCTGGTGGTCACAGGCCTATTTTTTGTGTTTGGTGAAGTGGGCCTAGGCCCACCATGAACTTCTATAAATCCCCCTTAAAAAGGGAGGCCACTCAGAATACAACAACTGATAGCTTGGGACAAATAAAGAAAACAGTAACAGGAGTGAGGGTTACAAGTTCAAAACAAGAGATCCAGAAGGGGACCCTGATCAGAGCACAATGGCCCCCAAATGAGTCAAGGGAGTCTGTGGATGCTTAGAAGTAAAACTGCCTGGAGACATAAGTGAAGAACCAACAGAAAGACAAGGCCCACACTTGCCAATGTCCCCCACTGGCCAGAGTCTCTTTCTTGGTCTTGTAGATGGCCACCTTGGCCAGAACCAGAAGGAGGTTGATCAGGAGGTCCTGGGGCTTGGTGGGGCCACAGATAGGGAGTGCATAATAAAAAAGGGACAGAGAGAAGTGCATCCAGAGCCTCAGCAAGAGGTTCTGGAGGAGGCAGAAGAGGAGCTACAATCTGGCTCACTCAAGGTAGGCATATGCCAGAGTCTCCCTCTGTTGGCAAAAGGGGCAGGTGTTGGGGGCATCTGTAAAGCACGCTAGATACATGCCTGTGATGACAACTCTGGGAAGGAGCAACCAGCTGAGGTCCCCTGTGGCTCATGGGATCAGGGTGGAATACAGACTTGTCCACCGGAGACCCTTGCCTCTGCCCTCACCTAGGGTGTCCTGCCACTTTGTCAGGGTAGCATGTGACAATTGAATGATGGACTATGCAGAGTACAAGCGTGCAGAGCTGGTGGTAGTGGGCTGTTTGGAGGTAGACTGGCTCCAGCTTGCTGAGATGGTGAGGCAAGGAGTGCCACGGGGTCTGCAGCCCCATGACTAGCTCTAGAGGGCTGAGAGATACAGGGACTGCCCTTGTGCAGAACCTGGTTAACATTGGCAAGGGCAGTGGGCGGCAGAGCAGTCTTTATCTACTGAAGTAAGCATCAGACAGCATGCATCATAGGCTGATAGACACAGGATGCTGGACAAGGTGAACCTATAGTCTGGCACAATAAATGGCAACTGTTATGTTCTTACATTCTAGCCACTCATATTTACTATCCCTGGGCTAGCAGCACTGTTTATGTTAAAGTTTCCTAATGTTTCCCATTGTGAGACCCTATTTTCACTTGCTTATAACTTTGCCAAAATTTAACAATTTGGGCTGTTTTAAAAAAAATTCAGTCAAAATGGCTCTGTGGATTCCAATAACAAGGCAAAGAGAAGCAATGTGCTTTGTCAATGTTAACATTCTTGCAACCTTTTCTTTGAAAAGCTTTAATGCCTCTATACTGCAAAGCAGGGACCTGAAATTAGACAGGTGGTGGATTTTGTGTTAGTCCTTAAAGAATCATAAAAAATTGGACTGGAAGGGACCTTGAGAAGTCATTTTGTCCAACTCCCTGCTCAAACCATTCCAGAAAAGCATTTGTCTAAGCTGCAATTTTAAAAGACAACAGTAACAGCTATTTCAGAATATGGAATCTGGCACTGACTGTGAAATCTGGAGCCCTGGGCAGATGTTAAAATTATGACATGATTGGGATGCCTCATCCCCAAAATTGTATGTCTTGCCATGCATGGATGGCAAACACGTGATGTTTGGCATAGTACATTAAATGCCTCAAATCCCAAATGTGCATCTGAAGAAGTTCAAAGCGGTATCCTGCCTGATCCTGAGGTTGGCCAGGGGTATATCCAAAGCCTATATATGTAATGTATGCATGAGAACACCTTTGTGGCTGGTTTACCATTTTATTGGGCTGAACATGTAGCATGTTACAATTTAGGGCATGATTAACATGTTAATTGGAAGGGAAGTTGTTGAGGATCAGCTAGAAGAATCTAATCCTAGTACAGTACAATTGCCTCCAGAGCCTGGAATATGATCTAGGGGTCCTGAGTCTCCCCATTCACCTGCTGCCAGCACATATCTTTAAAACTCAATTTAATCTGAACTTAGAAGGACAGGAAATTATATGCAGAAAGACATGCTATTACACCTTATTAAAGTATGTAGTCATACACTTTAAATTATGAAACCCAGAGTTAAAGTTGCTTTGACCAACATAAATTTGACCCCTTGTGAAGCTGCATGAAGACATGGTCTCTCATTATGTGATTATTACTGTGTTTTCCACAGGATCCCTGCCTCCATCAGTGCAGCAGTTGGACACCGCTCTGGGGATGAATCAAAGATGTGCAGGGAAGGAAAATGCTATGGCTGTCTGTGGAATCCATGCAAGTAGCTGGAAGAATTGGACAAGTCCTTTAACAAGTTTACAACATAACCTCAAACCAGTTCAATCTGTTGGCTTTCTCAGTTGGGGTTTATCATACTGAAGCACTTGATTGCAAGACAAAGCAACTACTCTAGCCAGATATTCACAGAATTACATTTTTGTAATAAAGTAAGGTATGATAGGAATAATAAGTATATCTTGGCAAGAATGTTTTTACTACATGCTGGAGAAAACTAGGCATATGGTAACATTAGTGCATAATGCTGTGCAAGCCAAAACACTGATGCTTACCTGTTCAGCCAGCAGTGAAGCCAGGCTTGAGTAAGCATCTGCAAACTCTGGACCATATTTAATGGAATCCCTCAATAAGGTTATAGCTTCCTCCTTCTTCCCTTGGGACCTGCAAGCCATAAAAGAAAAAAAAAACCCAATTCTTTTAATAATGTGTTTAGGTCACCTATTGATTAAATACTTCAAAAGAGGCTTGAAAGTCCCTGCCTTGTTCTTTTCAACAGACTAAATAATTAACTTATATCCACAACCTCTGTAACCAGAATCTCCTGAGGCAATATAGAATTCCATTGCCTTTCTGCCAGTCTGAGGAGAAGTGATGAAGAACTACAATTATTGGCTTTGAGTTAAGTTTGTACCTGGTCCACTTGCAGATTTCTTGCTGGGCAGTGCACAAACTCACTGCAAAAATTCTCCACCTTTTTCAGCACCTTTTTGTTGTTGCGGTTGTTTTTGGGGAGGGGTGGGGGGTAGGAAGAATTTTGGGACACCTTCAGAATGCTTTCAGGGGAGGGACAAGAATCTTTCTAAGAAATGGGAATGTAGGACTTCATCTTTCTACCACAGCTTTCAAAGGACCATCTGCAAGTATTCCAGTTCTGGAGTCAGCAGGGCAAGGAGCATGCACAGGAGCTGGTTAAGCCCTCATGACTTCTCTCCTTTCTACAGTCATGGCACAAACTAGTACAGCTTAGTACAGCCTGATATTCTGCTAGTTTTGTGCTGTTTGCATGCTATCCATGCTATTGAACTGCATCCTTTCATTAGGAGGGACTGAACAAGGGAGAGGGTTTCAGAAGCAGTCAGGGTTGGAAAGGTTATAAAAAAAATCATTATTCTTTAAGGGATGAGCAAGAACCAGTGAGGCCCCATAAGCAGCAGGGAGGCAAGGGACATCCTTAGATGTGCTTATCTCCAGCAAATCTTCTAAGATTGTTTTCTTTCATTTCTTTTAAACTAACAAAATAATTCAGGGGAAATTCTATGAGTTCCAGCACATGGAGCCTCCCCTTTCCTATGCAGGTTATGCTCTGGAGAGGCCAGAGGGCATAGGGTTCATTTTAATGGAACATACCTTTGTTCCACTAGTCTGGTATCCTGATCACAAAGGTGGCCATTATCTGATGATTTACGTGCGGGCAAAAGAAAACAAGTAATACTGTTACCTACCATTGAAGAACTGCAGAGGGAATAAAAACATTCCATAAGTTTTCACCCCAGCAAGTGGTATGTGTCTCAGCTTGCAAAACCACAGACTTTACCATTGCTTATAAAGTCCTCCAGTCCATTTGGAAATCTAGCCATAAGATTTGTCTTTAATTATGAAATCTGTCTACAGAATAAATCTATAAAATTGGTGTATCCAGTAGAATGCTGGTCAGGATTTAGGTATTATGTCAAAGGGAAACTAAAGAAAATTTTATCAGAGCACAGTGCACAACCTGTGACATAAAGAGTCTCCCGAAGAAGCCCTTAAGAAATCACTTGCCTTATAGGTTGGGATGATGTCAAAGGCATAAAATGTCTGACTGGTAGGACCTATTCCTACTTCTGTCACTAACTCACTGAATGACTTTGGAATAGGACACTTACTGGAAACCCTTCTTTGCTTCTATTTCCCATATATATGTGTAATCTACACAAAATGTACAAGCAATTTTGTATTGTAAAGTGTGCTGTTGTATATGGTTTTAGTCAAATAAGATTGTATATTCCTTTTTCTCTGCTGTGCTGTGTTTACCCATGTTTTCTACATGTGAGTATCTTGTTTTCTCTCCTCTGCTTGGGCAAGCTGGAAAGAGACAGGAGATACTGCATGTAGGCAGATACCTGTGGCTTTTGTTAGGCCTACTGTCTAGGGCAGGGGCAGGGAAAACATGACCCATGGGCTGCCAGGCATCTTCATCCAGCCGCAACACCTACCAACTAATTGTACCCTGCCCAGCCCTTTCACCCACAAGAGTGGGAGCGAGGCACCCACATATGTACCCTCTCCCTCTCCCAACAGGCCTCACTCTCACCCTTGTGGGCAGAAGGGCCTGGCCCAGCCAACACCAGCTTCTGGGTGGGGCTGCTGCAGCCACCAAGGAACCAGCTCAGCTGCCCTGGTGTCCCGTTTGCTCTGGGCAGCAGGTAGGGAAGCAACAGGGGTGGAGGCAGGTGGAGAGCTGGGGATTTTGGACTAGGAATTTTGGGGTGCAGTCACACCCCCAAGACATCATGTGGAAGTGGATATGGCCATTCTACAGCTTCCTAGGGAGCAATGAGGGGCCCCTTGCACCACAGAAGGACCTATGCTCACTAGCAGCTCCCCAAGATGCAGCAAAACCCAAGAAGCAGCTCATAGGACTGTCCTGCTAAGTAGTAGGTATAGGGATGCAAAGCCCTGCAAACTAACCCTTGGGTGAGCCCCCCCAAGTCCCGGACTGCCTCTCCCCAAGAAAGCGCATCCTATAAACTATGCCTTGTAGGTGGTCATGTTTTAAGATGCATTTGGAGTTTTCCTTTGTTTTCTCTAATAAATCTGTCCTTTGTGTTTACCCTGCTTGTGAGGAGGGAGTTTTGTTTATGTGGGACACAACAGTCAAATTCAGTAATCCTAGATTTCTGGGTGGGAGCTCAAACCACAGTAAAAAAAATTTTGGCTACCCCGAAATTTGAACTTGGCTCTTGCTGCTGCTGACTGGTGCCCAGCAGAAGGGTTACATATACAAAGGGGATAATAGCACTTAAAGGCACTGTTAGCTTTTGCATCATGAGGTACTTAATTAAAAATGAATGATGCATACCCAAAGACTATCATGATTTAATTAAATATTTTGCACTAATTAAATGGAATGTATTTCATGTCTTGACTGCCACTAGCCCAGTCCTGAGTGAGTTAACAATTTTTGGGCTGGGGATGAGGGCTAGAGGGAATCTCTGCCACTATTCCTAGGCAGGGCATGAGCAGAAATAGTCAGAAATACCTAACGTAGCAATCTGCTGTTGCCACAGAAGCGTATTTCCCACCTTAGAAATAGGAGAAGCTTATCTGACTGACTATAGATGCTAATTTAGACTGGAATAAGCCTTCCTTGTGCTGGGTGCACAAAGGAATAAGATGAACTCTGTACCCTATGAAAAGAAGCAAAGGAATCTGAAACATGGAAAAATATGCGAATACCTTGCAGCTCTAGCCTTGGATTTCATCTGAGCAACACGGTCAAGAAACCAGATCTTGTTATAAGTGCAAATTTCAGCTGATAATAGTTGTGGCTTTGCAGATTTTTTTCCCTTTCGAGTTATATAACTAGAGGGATATTTTGCCTGTGCTTTAAGTTAAGTAAAAACAGTTGTGCTAGTCTTTTTCTTTTTCCAGCAGTGCACTATATAAATTACATGAATGAAGCAAAAACAAATAAAGAACCACTTTTTCCCCTCACTAATTAAAGACTAGCTAGTTTGTCAATTTATAAAACTTTTGGATTCCTTGGCTGGAGTTTTGCAACACATTTATATAAATCGAAAACAGATGGCTGCTTTCTAAAGGTATCAGCCTTTGGCAGAAACCTAGGAAATGCCAGCTACAGAAATAAAAGGATTAAGTGATCCACTCAGCAGCAGTAAAAGTCCCCATTAACCTCAAGCAGGTACTCTGAGCACTGCACCCTCTTAATTACTCTTTTGTCCTTAATGGCTTTTTTGTTTGATCTAAGGACAATGTGTCTCTTTAAAACAAGGAGGTGCGGAGGGAAAATCATGGCATCTTTTTATGTGACGGTGAATTACATGAACATCACTCTTATGCTTATATTAAAAGAGGAGGTATGACAAACTCTACTAGGGCTCAGTCCTGTAAGATGCTGAGTGCTCTGGCCCTAATGCAGCTAGACATGTAAACGCATGCTTGACTTTTAAGCATGTGAGCAGAGAGTAAATCATGAATTAAAGTGCTTTCCTGGCTTAGGGCCAGGATGCTCAGCACATTGCAGGATAGAGGCCAGAAGGATATTTTTTGATATGCTTACCATGGTTTGCTTTGTCTCAGACAACACAGCACACAGGACTCTGATGTACTTATGTTTTATGAATTTGATCTCAGCTGCAGGAGAGCAAAATGAATAAAACCCCTTCACAAAGGGTGGAAGTTGCCCCAGGCAGGCACCTATTCTCCATTTAAATCATAATGTGGAGCTCAGGAGCCCTGCAGGGGTTCAGAGCCCTGGGCTCAACTTCATCAGTAGTGAAAAGACCAGCACAGGATTTAGATTTTCTTAGCATTTTTTCCCAAATTATTTGGAAAATTTTTAAAGAACTAGACAATGAAGAAGCAATAACTACACAGATTAACAAAGGCTCTATTGTGCACTTACGAAGGGCTCTCTCAGAGACTGACACAGCAGAGTAACCTGTTTTCCTCTAATGATGAAAACCTTTGGATAAGCTATAAGTGTAATTTCTCTATTATCCCTTCTCCTTCAGCAAAAAAACAACAAAACCCCCAAAACAGACCCACATGGAATCTTTAATCTTTACTTGCATGACTACTGAAGCCCAGGAGAAGGGATCCTGATTTTACATCAGAACTAAAAGATTTATGAAGTTTCTCAGTAGTTATGTTTATCTATAAACACCTAATCAAATTAGAGTATCTTCAGATATGGGCAATTTAAAACTTACTCCTTTTGCCTCCAAAATTTTACCATATGAAAGTGAAAAAATTGGGTACATAGAACTGTGGTTCAGAAATAAATTATATCCTTTCATTCTAATAGCATTCAGTTAGTCCAATGGTGCTCAATCTTTTTGGTCTGCAGGCCAAATGGGAAGTGCCCAATCCGTCTGCGATCTGGATCAGGCTGGTGGACCCAATCCAGCAGCCAGGGCAAGCACACCACTTCCCATATGGTCACACGAATGGGGGCAGTCCGGCCCTGTTCCAGCCACATGGGGAAGAGGGCTTGGTCTATCCCTGATCCAGCCTTACAACAGAAGGGAGCTTCACTCAGCTTGAACCCAGTCCCATAGGCAGGGGGATGACCCAGTCCCAACCCAGCCCTGTGGGGAGAGTGGACATGGCTCAACCCTGCAAAAGGAAGATGTGGCCCAAGCCCTGTGGAGGGAAAG